TAAGCTTCAAGTGCTCAAGGGCTTTGTAATTAATCCAGAAGACGATCCACAACAAGCGGTAGATAATGGAAATGGAAAGATTAATAACAATAAGATGAAGAAAAAGGCGTCTTCAATGGCAACATTTAGTGACTTATCAAATCTTAAAGAGCTAGTAAAGTTGACTATCCGCACAAGAAGAATGAAATTTCCAACCATACAAGATTTTGATACTCTGTTGGCAATGGACAAGCTCGAAACTCTAGGAGTTCTTTGGGTGCGGAGTTCTTCCGCTGTAGTATGTGCAACGCCCACAAGAAGATTTCCAAAGAGTCTCACAAAATTGGAGCTTCAGGCTGCCCCAAAGGATACATTGTCATCTCTTCTACGATGTATTTGTAAAGATAAAGAGAGTTCCCTACAAAAACTCTACATTAGAGGAGGCCAAGGTCTGGACCTTGGTATGGAGTCAATGGAGATGCATTTTGTTTGCAATGTGCATACCGTACGTCTCAAACACTTGCCGGAGCTAACCATCCGTTGGGGTGAATTTAGGAAGTTTTTTCCTAAATTAACTCGATTACAAGTATTGAACTGTCCTAATCTCATCTCTTTCCCTTGTGATGAGAATGGTTTATGGGTAGAGACAAAGAAGATCGATAAATAATGTATAATTTTTTTTAATTTTTTTTTTTTATCAAACTAGCGTGTTTTTGGTTCACATGTTATTCCTATACTACGTTTTGTATCATTTTAAAATAATGAAGGAATAATAGTATTATCGAGTTACTAATCCGGGAGTCCCGGTGAGATGAAAGTCAAACGTCAAATACTTGACTTTGTGGCGGAATTCATCAAATAGACGCTATTTTTAAAACAAAACTTAATTCAAGGTATTAGTTTTCAAGAAAAAAAAAATTAGTTTACAAAAAAAAAGGGTAATACTTCCTCCGTTACGATTTACTCGCAACAATTACCATATATGGGTGTTACACATTGCTTGCAACAATTTTTTTCCTTTTATAGTAAGTTTTTTTTGGGTAAAATGACAAATTTACCCTTCCTTTTTTTTAAGATTGTTTAATTGTTTGTAAACTACATTACTTAACTTTTAATCTAACTTACTCTATACTAATCTACACTAACCATTCCCACCTAAAATTACCCCCTCTCCTTCCTAAATCATCAACTATCTTTCATCTTCTCAACCACCAAATTGAATGTTATTCATTCAATTGGCCTCGAAGATGTTGCCAGACTTCTCTTCTTCTGGAGAAATCTCCAGAACGTCTTCATAAACCCTAGATCTCCTCCTCCTTCCTGTTTTCTCTCTCCTCTTCGTTCTCTGTTTCTCTGTGTTCCCTTTTCTCTATGAAACCCTAACATCAATTCATCTGCATTTCTGGAAATATGAGTCCCAAAAAAAAACGAAAAAAAGTCCCTGGAACGCTCTAAGAAGGACAATCAGTCCATTCGCTCTGAGAAGGACAATCAGTCCATTCGCACGACGTGGCGATGGAGTGATGAAACATGTCCGTAGGTGCTCTACGTCGTTTTCGAGGTACTCTAGTGGTAAAATTGAGGCTAAGCTTGATTACAGTTCAAGCGACGATGAGGAAGAGGTTGTGGTTGTAGATCCACCCAAGAAGGTGGTTGTTGAGGTGGCGGTTGTGCTGGATCTGTCCGAATCTGCTGCCGTTGTTGTTCAAGAGGTTGTCGGTGAGAAGGAGTCCCCAAAAAAGGCTGACTTGGAGAAGGAGGAGACTCCGGTGAAGGCAACAGCCACCTCAAGCTCTCCTAGGGGGCAGAAACGGTTCAGATCTGTCTTCAAGGACGACTACAACGACTGGGATCCATGTTACGTGGCTGAGGGATAAGTACCTTGATGACTTCCCCCTCATCTTTGAACTTGCAGCATAACTATAACTAAACCCTAATTGCTTTACTTTCTGTTTTATTTGGTGCAATTGTCGGTTGTTTGCTCTTAAATCTGAGTCCATGTTGTTTAATTATTCATATGTTGGTGTTGGTTTGAGTATGAATATTGTTGGTTATGTACTGTTGTTGTTGTCATGATGATTGATTGATTGGGGATGTAGTACTGTATGGATGATGAGCATGGTTCAGGTTTTTTTTGCCTTTGGAATACTCATGTTGTTAGTGTGTTTGTGTTGGTGCAATTGAGTCCTAAATTCATTAGTTGTTTGTGTGGCTTATTCATTGACACTTGAAGCATTTAGTCCCATTAGCTTGTTGTATAATTGAGGCAATGAGTCCCACATGTTGCCTAGTGTTGTGCTTCATTGTTAAATATTATATCCAAGTGATGAAGGGATTGTGCTGATTGTATCCCCTTAATAAAGGATGCTCCAACAACTTCATTCAAAAGTTGGTGCCTTATTAGGATGGGGTATATGTTGATATAAACATCCATTTAATGGATTATTGTCAATGTTTAGATGTCTTGAGTACACTACCCATGTTGGTGTTAATGGTTTCATTTCATTTCTCAAAAACTTATGAACTTTACAAAATCCCTAGCCCATATACACTTGTTTATCATGACTGCCTAACTAAACTACCTAAGCTATTTCACCAAAGACACCTAACCATTACAAAAACAAACAAAAAACTAGTTTTAGTTTTAATGGTTATGTGTGGCAATCCATGAACTTCAAAAGCATCTTCTGTCAATCTTCAATGCCAAAAAATTGTGTCTTGCTTTTTCATCTTCAAAAGGTTGTGTACTTACATCATTTTTAGTCTGCATCCACTTCCATCTCTTGTGTCTCTGGTTGAGGGCCTGTAGTAGGAACAAAAAGTGTGTTGAGGTAGTGTCAGCAATGAGTTCCCTACTTACCTTGAGTATGTCTACCAAAGTCCCTTCTCTAGCTTGTTTTTCCTTTTCCATGTGTGGTGGGTTGAAGTTATTCCCACCTGCTTTTCAAGTACTTTTATCATGCATAATTGGAGGGTGATCCATGTGTACCCTGTTTTATCATGCATGATTGGAAGGTGATCCTCTGCCACCTTCTCAATCAATTCATCCAAATTCTTGAGGAAGGACTGATATTGGATGGACTGTATGACCTTAAATAAACCAAGATCCAACACATTCAAATCAGGGATTGGGCAGGTTGGAATACAAATTGAATGTTGAAACCATTAGCTTGTGTTGCTGCAAGAAATTCATCATCAGTATGAACTTGATGTGGCCTTGCATTGTCCCATTGTATGACAATATTCTTTGATAACTGTTGTGGCCATTCAACATGTATAGTAGGAATTATTTTGTTCAAAATCATGTTTCTAATAGCTTCTCTGTTCACACTTTTAATGGCTTTGGTTTCCATTGTCCCTGCCTCTCTGTTCTTGCTTTTTTTTCTTTGCCCTTTCATGCTTCACAAAAAGAAAAAGGCCATACTTCCGAGAGTGAAGTAGAGTCCCATCATGTGGCATACAGTGGCATCCCTATCATCCCCATAAACATTGCCTTTAACTTGAACCTCTTTGATTGTAGTGCTCTGTATGGTACCTCTTCATTTGGTGTTAGATAAAAGGTCATTGTCTCTGGATTCAAATAGAACCACTTCTCATCAATGTGGATGTAATGTTGCATATCCCTAAATGTTGGGTCTCCCTCACTTGGAACAGGATTAACGTGCTGAAGCACCCATTTTAGCCTTGCTATCTTGTGATTATCACTTAATGCTGGGTGATTGGTTGTTGTGGAAGCCCTAAGTCTTGACATGATGGACATTAAGAGTTGCACCATACCTTCTGTTTGTGGTTCTCTTGTACAGAGGCACAAACATAAGCCACTCATCAAAGTATTCCTTAGGCGTTCTACATGTCTTGCCTAATTTTTTGCTCCTGACATCCACAACATTCCCCTGTTGAATGTGTTCTTTAATTTCTTGAAACCATCTTGTTGTTGTGGATCTGTGTACACCATGTTTTCTTGCCAATGAGGACAGAACTCCTCTTAGAATTGAGTCCCCTTCCATATTGAGCATGATATCATCAACTATCTACCTCTTTTCTTGGATGTTCAACTCTTTGTTTTGCCTTGCATTGTTTGGTACATGTTGTTCCTCTAGTCCCGATTCAGTTTGTTGCTGATTTGTTGATTCAGTTGAGTCTGACATTGAATTTAAACGGTTGGAATCCTCTTGCATGTATGTGTTGTGCTGCTGTTCTGTGTTCTGCTCCATGAACAATTGATTGATGTTGAAAAATTCATCAAACTCCTCTTCCATGAGTCCTTTTTTTTTTTCAGATGAGATGATAGGTGATGAAGTGGAGGTGTCTTGCTTTTTTTTGGGAGCTTTCAATGGAGCATGATTCTATACAAACAACTAATGCTGCCGCAGCAATTAGGAATTAGGACTAACTTCAGCTGAAGATGGTTTTTGTGTAATTTGCAAACAATGGCACTTTAATTTTTGGTTTGTAATTTAACAATGGAAGTTGATTTCCCTCCTCCTCCCCCCCCCCCTAACCCTTAGAATTTTGGACAAAGTTGATGTAATGAAATGAAACAGGTTTCCTCTTTTTATAAGGGGCTTTTGTTTGTAAAATAGGGTTAATGGGAAAAATTTGAATTAAGTTTGAAATGTTTTCAAATGTTGTTGAAATGTTTGGAGGGAAACAAAAAAGAGGCAAAAAATTTGCCTTCCAAAAGCTAGCAGCAATTAGGGATGGCAATTCTAAATGGATAAATTCAGATCCACCCGAAATAAAAAAATGGACGAAAATCCGCATTAAATGGATGAAGGGCGGGTGACGGATGAAGCGGGTGACGGAACGGGTCGAATTCAGGTGGGGCTTCGTTTCATCCGTCAGCCGATCCGTCATCCGTTTATCACCCGATCCGCAGTCCATCCGTATATATATATATATATATATATATATATATATATATATATATATATATATATATATATATATATATATATATATATATATATATAAGTTCATGATTATTTTTATTGCTACAGTTTGGAATAAAAATTTAATTAATGGTTTACTTTTTAAGTTTAAAATTGGCTAAAAGTTTTTTTTTTTAATTCTAACATAATAGATTTTATAGTTAGAGTAGGATTATAATTATCACCCGTTAAGCATCCGATCCACCCGTTTCATCCGCGGATGACGGATGGATCGGATGCGGGTGATGGGTTTTGCGGGTGACGGGTGGAGCGGATGATTAATTCGGGTGGATGCCGGTGAAGCTCCATCCGACCCGAATTCGATCCATTGCCATTCCTAGCAGCAATCAAAAAAAGAGGGAAGAGAAGAGAGGAAAAAAAAAGTCACATGGGTCACCTTTATTTTTAGGACCACTTCTTTTCCCTCCCTTTTTGATTCCACTAATTACATACCCCTCCCCTTTAATCCAACCCCTTAAAAGTTTTGCCTAGGAGTCCCCAGTTCACCCTTTTGTAGCGACTAAATCGTAACGGAGGGAGTATACCAGTTCACAATTGAACTTTTATATTCCCTAGTTCGAATGCCCCTGCGCAATGCGTGCGGACCAGTTAGGATTCGATTTTGTATTGCCGGTTTGAAGTTGACGTGTTTTTATTACCAAACACCTATAATGCATATACTTATCTCTGTTTTTTTAGTTGACACGTATTTCTTTTTTTAGGAACTTTAATTTTAGTTGACACATTTCCTTTTTGTGTAATGGGTAAGTCTTATAAGGTTATACCTTGTACTTATTTGTGTACCCCACTTGCTTTATCATTCTCTCTCTTCTCCTTAATATGTATGTCTAAATTAAACGCGTCAAAACAGAGGAAGTTTTTATTTTACAAATTAGTATTTAATTTTGCTAAACATCTTATTAGATATATCTCACCCTGAAAAATTATTTACATTATCTCACCCTTAAAAAATTTGCTCACCCCTAAATTTTTTATCATAAGAACCAAAAAACACCTATCAAGTCGCCTTTAAACCATTTATTAATGTGTAGCATCCTGGGCAACTTGATAGGTAGCGACACTAGGTGAGCAAGAGTTTATGAGTAGCTTTTCTACACATATATTATAGATTATAAGTCGAAGGTTTCTTTAATGGCTTTATGAGTGTTGTTTCTTCAGAGGCGCTTTGTAAGCTATTTTTATGAGTCACCTATTTTTTAGAAGCAACACGTATGGTATTTTAAAGCTGTCTAATACAATAATTCTCAAGAGGCGACCAGATCTAGCTTCAAAAAGATCTAGCTTCAAAAAGATCTAGCTTGACCTATTGAGTTGCGTCTTAATTAGATAGAATGTGTAAAATATTTATTTTTTTTCCTTTTGAAACTTTAAAATCATTATATTTATAGTTCCAACCTATGTAGGACTCGAACCCACATATATGTGCAATGACACATTGCTCTACCATTTGAGCAAATAGGCTATCCAAAAACTTTAATGGAACTCGACATAATTATAATACCTCCGTAATTATTATTATGTGCAACTTTGGAATAAATAATATCTCACAAATAATACTTAAAGTTGCACATAATAATTGACAGAGGTATTAGCAATACATAGAAAAGCGAGAGGGGTTAAAAGTAAAAATTACCTAATGCTAAGGCGAAGACAAAGCATCAAATCATAGGAAGAATGGAGTTAAATATGGCTTCATTGATCCACTCTTGCTGTTCTGCACCATCACTCACACCCCCTGTCATCTAACAACACATACTACAGACACAATACAGCCCACTACAAAGCAGACACATGATTGATTACATAAAAGTAACGTCTATCTAGTCCACATGCACAACTTACTCTCACCCTTGCCACACTAACTGTGCCAAAACACAAACCTCACATACAAACACCAATCACACCAAATAGACTTGTTACGAGACAATAAAATAGTCCGGGCCGGCCCGGAGGGGTAGGCCTCGAGTGCGACCGCCTAGGGCCCACGCTAGAAGGGGACCCAAAAATTCAAAAAAAAAATCAATTTGCATAGTGCAGAATTTAAACTGTCTAAACTGTAGTTTTTACTCGTTAAAAAAATAGCTACTTTTAAAAAAGATAATAAATGCAATTTATTAGCAATTAATATTAAATTACTTAGATGTCAATTAGGTGGAGATAATTATGCAATATAACCTCTTCTTCTTCTTCTAATCTTCCGATTTTTATGAGAATCTGTTTCAAAATATTAATCTTTTCAATTACACTCTTCCTATTTATTCAATTACCGAAATATTATGCAAAGTTATTACTCCAGTATTGTGTATGGAGACTTACTATTCAAATAATTTAAGTTATTTTGATTTTCTTACATTTAAAGCTATTGCATGTAAAAAATTTGTTTATGTAAGGGGCCCTTTTCTTACATTATGCCTAGGGCCAATAAATTTCTAGGAACGGGGCTGAAAATAGTACACTTCACATACACGAGATCACACATATTATGATAGGATAAAAAATTCTAAGGCACACCAAATAACATAATACAACATAAGAGTTATACTTAAGTGTTAGAGGTTATTATAGAATATGCATCAACGTTGTCTTCTTATATATAAAAAAAAAAAAAAAATTAAAAAAAATGAAAGGAACTTCTAAACTGTTAAATGAGGCATACCAGTCTGAAGTAGGATCGTTAGCTTTCCAATTTCAGCTCACATAAGTACATAACAACCGATATTGTGTGGGCTAATATCAATCTCCTTCAGAAATTCAGACTCTTTCTTTGCAAAACCTATCCATATAAACCTTCTTAAAACACAATTAATAGTTAATCACATTTCTAGAAATTTTGAAGTTGGAATAAATATATAAAATATCAAAAGATCAATAAGTCATACTCTTTTTTAAAGGACCAGAATTTTGTTTATTATCAGAATAGTCATTATGAAGCATTTTAATATCAACTTCATTAAGCCTATTGAATTTATCCAAAAATTTTATTACCAACAACTTTTCCACAACAAATGAACAACTCTTCCTAGGTACTTCATATGGTTGTATTTAAAATTTGATCCGGATTCAATACAGTGGGTTGTTTAACCTGACATTTTTTAGAGCATGGTTATAAGCTATATCCTTACCAAATATCTGAGCTGGAGAGTAGTCTGCCTCATTTTCAATATGTACAACCTGCCCAGAATCCTCTTGAAAACTTCAAGGTCCTCTACCTGAGTTTTGACAGATGAACATATACCCGACATTTCTCCATGTTGCCTCTCTGATAATCCTGTGACAATTACACCAGATTGCAAGAAACAATTTGAGAACTGAACCCAGATATTATCCCACAATGTTTTAAGTACACAAAGTGCCTGAGAAAAATAGATGGACTACCAAAATCCACATGGACAAATCAAGCACAGAATATGTTATATACCCAGTATACAGACAATTTCAAGTGTTTCTGTGAGGATAAAAGTCGTACTTTTACTTCCAAACCTTAAATCAGATTACCCATAAGCTAACTTCAACCAAACCAACCATAGAAATTGAGCATTAATTCTTATAGCATCAATCTATCAACCGTATGTCACTGACCATTATTTCATTATAGAAGACTTAAGCTGAATTCTTCTAGTGACTGATTTCACTTCCATCATCTAGTACAATAACATTAGAAACATACGGCAAGCAGGAAATTATTTTAAATCCTACATGGTGATAATATAGCAATTTTCACTAAAATCATTCCAAAACCCAAGAGAAGTGAATTTAGGCATTCCCACAAAAATAATATATCCCCTACTTTTCTCAAATCCTATATTTTTAAGTGCATGCTTCAGCTCCTATATATTTGGGAGAGAAAATACATTTCTCTCTCTTCCAGGTCTATGAGATGAATAGCAAAAGCAAATAACTTGTTCATCTTCAATCCACAATGTCCAGCTTCTCCTACATCATTTATCCTACTCCAACTGTCTACTGTAGTTTCAAATGAGGTTATAGTTCATTTTCAGCTTCCACAAAGATAAAAACCCAAATTTGATAAATGTAGTGTATTACACACAACAAATTCTATATATTATACTTTATTCACTTTTCATGCGAATACCCCTATCACCTATTGATACATTCTAATTTTATATGTAAGTATTCTATCTAGAACAGAATTAACAGCAATTGTTTTCCTCTTAATTGGTTTCCTCTATCATTAAGAGTAACTTGGTTTATAAAAGCACTGGCTAAAAAAAATAACAGTATTTATTCGTCACAGAACTGACTTAGGTAGTGTTTAATGGTTAAAGTAGTGCATGGCTAGTGTTACTCTCCGACTTAAATACCACTAGCATTCTCTAAGATAACATGTACTATGTATCTGGGCGTCAAATGTTACTTATTTTTTAAAATGTAAATATTTTAAATTAAATTTAATAATTTACAGCTATTTTTTGTCAAACTCTAAAATGGATCAATGAGTACTTTGTTTAGCAGTTAAGACTAAAGGTATGCGTATATTTGATCAAATGTTCAAATCTCCCCACCCTTATAACTTGCATTGCCCTTGATGCTCATTTGGATGGGGAAAAAAAAAAAAGATAAATGGAGTTATATGACTTATTTCCAAAATACTCCACGTCTAGTTGTGGGACTTCTTTTACTGTACTTTTTAAAAAAAAAAGTTACTTGTACACCTTACATCCGTAATTTGTAATGCTCTTGTGACTTGTTTGGAAAAAAAAAAATGTTAAATTGTAATTGTAGTCTGACAAGCTAGTTTTGCCAGGTATTTTCTCCCTAGTTAGCATTTGAATAACTAAGTTTCAATGTAGCATGTCCACAAACATAACATAAGATTAACTCCAAAACCAAACATAACATGAGATAGATGCAAGAGTTTGTGGCAAGAGATCAGTTGAGAGGGAGAGAAAGTGATACAATAAAAAAGTGTTTTAAGGAGTTGTTATAAGATAATTATGACATGTCACATGTGAAATTGTGAATTATGTTACTTGTCAAATAAAGATTAGATACGGAGTACCAAAATATTTCCTCTATTCGATTTTCTTACTATCATTCTTCAGCTCATACTATAGCTCCCAAAGGTTAGACATTGCAGCAAACTTTCTGCACTGTTTGTTATCTTGGTTAAAGTGGGTAGAGAGAAAGCATCCAAATGTGATGCCCAACCTAGTAGGATGGATGTGTGGAAGGAAGAGAGAAAAGGAAAGAGGTGGATATGAGATTATACTAGATGTGAGTGCCAAGGGTATTTCACTTGACATGTTTTGAGGAATGTCAAATAAGTAGGGCCCTATAAAGTGCACCGTTAAGTTTTTGGACATAAAATTATACTTCCTCCATTTTATTAATATTGCAAAAATGGACTTTTTGCACTATTCATCAACCTTGTTTGACCATATAATATGAGTTATACGTTAAGCAAAATATAGTCAAGTGGGATCTTATTGGATTCGTCTCATAAAATACTTTCACAATATCAACTTTTTATAATTTTTACTCTTACACAATTATAGATATTTAGCATATAAAATGTGTTTTGGGATGCATAATTTCCTCCTTGTTGCAATATTAACAGAACAGAGGAAGCATAAGGTAGTGATACCAAAACTTTTGGAAGAAACTTGGTAGTTTTATAATTTTTAATTTTTGAAACAAGGTAGTTATTTATAAACTAGGTAGTTGATAACAAATAATCCTAAAATATACCACCATGATTGATGGTTTTAAAAATAGTGGATCACAAAGAATAATTGCAACAATCTAAGTATCAACTTTAGTTGAATGTTGCAATATTCAACCTAATAATAATGCAATACTACATCAAAACAATTGAGCTCCTTTTCTTCTCCAATAGATTAGAGAAAGTGTACTCAAATGAAGTAATTCGTCTAGCATAGATAAAAACAAATTGTCCTTCCTTAACAATCAAACGAAAATCAAAAATCAAGTGTAAGGTCTAAATCAAACAATTCAAAAACACAATCAATCACATCATCAATTCTTAATAAAATTACAAAATCAAGGTAAATAAGCAAACACAAAACAACCAAAGAAGAGTAGTGATCTGAGTAGCAAGGAACTGAAGAATAAGAAACGTGGGTCGGGATTCCGAAAGGTTTGAACTTAGATTAGCCAATTTACAAGGAAATTATAAATTTATCAGAAATCGAAACGAATTGAGATTTAAAAAAAAAAAAAAAATCAAAAAGTCACTCAAGAACCCTAAATGGCTTATACTGACAATACAGTGAAAGATAATGAAACCCTAGATAGATTGTCGATTCAAATTGAAATTCGAAGAGTATGAAGAAGATTATATAACTCACCTCAACTTGAATGGAGGAAAGAAAGCTTAGAGTGCGCATTAATGGAAAACTTGGAAGAGAGAAACAGAGAGAGAGGGGAAGAGAAGAAATACTTATACGTAAAGATGGCAGCAAAGAGCAAGACAGTAATTGAATTTTTGTAGGGTAAATATGGAACGGCACTATTCACAAGTATTGAAGTGTACATGGAGTTTTAGGCAAAAAGAGTAAAATAATACGGAGTATTATACTGTTTTTTTTTTTTATATGGTGGGTCAAAAGGTGGAGAGAGAAATAATACAGTAATGTGTGAATGAAGTTTCTAAATCTGATATTAGGATGCTTGAAAATAAAAAAATAAATAAACTATCGATTTTAGGAAATGGGACACTCAAGAAAAAAGGAGGGAGCACATGATAATTGAATCAAATAAAAAATTATTTCAGCAAAACTACAATCGTTGTCGCATTATAGCATTTTTCACATTGTTGTGGTACACAACCTTCTTCGACAAGGGGGTCTATCAATCTGTTGTAGCCGTGAACAAAAATCTCGTCTAATTCGTCTAGTTGTAATTGAAATATTAACCTCTTTTTCAATCTCACACAAATCTTTACCCATGAATTAATTTTACATCAATCCATCAAACAAGAATTCATGTTCCTCCTCAAAACATAAAAGGAAAATATTTTCTTTCGAATGAGAAAAATCTTTCTTAAAAAGAAGAAAAACTCTTTATTTTAAGGGAGAAACGTTCCTCCTAAAATAGGAAGAGTTATTACAACCTAAAACAAACAAAAATAAAAGGAAAATTTAACAACGATAAACCAACCTTTGCTCTATTCTCCCAAAATGAACCAACCTTTAAATCTGCCCAAAATAAACACAAGTTTACCTTTATTCTCCCAAAATGAACCGTACTGGTCACCTTACCTATTATACCATGTAAAAATCCACGTGTCATTAAATCATTGGTCAAGGCTTCTTTTTTTTTTGATAATTTTTACAAAAAAAAAAGAAATTAAAAAAAAAAAGAGCCAAACACCCTTCCAAATGTCAGCCACCCCACTACCACCCACTCAAAGCCTGACCACCTGCCCCCAGGGCCGGCCCGCCCAAAACCCCCCTCCTCCGGTCGCTGGTGCCGGCTGTACTCCATTAAAATGACTGCACCTAAAGGAAGAGGTTGAGTGATGATTCCAACAATATAATGGTGGAGAGGAAGATTGCGAGGGGTTGGGATGAACCAGATGATAACCCCAGTTAAAATAAATGTGATTAAGGGTTTGATTGAAGCTCCCTGCCATGGTTGAGGTTGAATTCAAGGTGGGTTTTTTGCAGAAGATGAAATGGGTTTGAATTTGAGAGTGTTGGGAAGAGGAAGAAGAGAAGGAGGAGAGAGAAAGTGTTTGTGAGAGTGAGAAGATGAGGAGGAAGAGGATGATTTGAGAGCGTTGGATCTGATGGAAGGGAGGGTAAATTGTGGCGTAGGAGGGTGGGGTTGCTGGCACCGGAAGTGGTTGGGCGTCGGCCGCCGGCAGACGGAAGGAGGAGGGGTGGCTGACAGTGGATTGGGGGTTGAATTTTTTTAATTATTTTAATTTAATTTTATTTATTTTAAATAGATAATTAATGGAAAATAAAAAAAAAAGTGACCGGTTATTCAGGTCACAAGTCATTTGGGTTTAATATGAGAGAAAAAATGTAAACTTGTGTTTATTTTGGGCATATTTAAAGGTTGGTTTATTTTAGGAGAATGGAGTAAAGGTTAGTTTGTTATTGTTAAATTTTCCAAAATAAAAAGAGAAAGGGCGCCCAAAAACAAATATTAGGGCTATTCATCGATAAAAATTGATGGAAGCCCCTCTAAAATTTAACTATGGAGGCTAGGATTTTTTAAGGAAATGAGAGGGAGAGAGAATACCATTATGTTTAATAGTAATTTATATGGGAAATCCTTATTTCCCATTTTTGGCTTTAAGAGTTACTATAGATATAGATAGATTTTAAAATGAGAAAAAATAAATTTAATAGGCAGAAAATACCCTTAGGTGTACTTGCTCAATTTTTCCTGACGCAGAGTTTTAGAAGAAATAGTAAAAAAAATATCTATACTAATGTACTATACTAAAGCGAAATCTATTTTCCCCTCCTAAATGCCTTGGAATCCCGCCTATTCCCTCTTCTTCTCTAAAAAAACATTAATTAAAGTTACATTGAATTATCCCCGATGCACAATATGTTTTTTATAAATAAAATCATAATCCTATAGAAATAACTTTTTTTATTTATCAAATGATAAAGTTATACAAATACTTTTTTGTATGGATATCAAGTTGTTGGACATCAAATTGCTTACCAATTGAACCAACTTCCGTTGATTACAAAATTGTTATTCCTAACTTTGTTTTTCAACCAAAGTGTTATTCCTAATGTTTCGGGTGTTTTTTGGATTTCCTAGGATACTGGTCACGCTCTCTTGGCAACGAGACGGTCCAACCTGCAAAACAATGAATATTCCGGTTAACGGAATATTCGCCTCCGCCGATCAAGTTTAGTGATCGAAACGGAAAAGGCTAGAGAGAGAAAGTAGAGAGAAGTTAGAGCTATTTAATGCTCTTTTTTTGTAAATGTCTTAATCCACCCCTCCCATCATAAATGATTGGGGTATTTATAAGGGTGGGACTTGTGCCCCTTTCTAGGGTTTGTACCCTAGATTTACGTGACGTGATTTGTAATCCCCCATATTTTTAAAATATATTATAAATGAAATTATATATTATTTATAATATTTATTAGTATTTTTCCGGAATTTAATTTCAAAAGTTTCAATTTTTAATTTTGGGTCGAAAATTATTTTGGTACAAATTTCTTATACATACATTTATTCTATAATTCATGTCCAAACAATCAAAGCCTAACCCACTTTACTTTCCTAATTGGCCCATTAATTTTATGAAGCCCAATCTTACTATTTACCCTACACCACTCTCTCTCCTATAAATACCCCATACATCCCTAAAATTTTTCCCACACAAAAGGTTAGTATTATTTACTTACTCCTTTATTTTATATTTCTTTTCTTTTTCCTTTATTTTATTTTTTATTTCTTTTTCTTTCCTTTTTCTTTTTTTTTTCCTTTCTTTTTTTCCCCTTATTCCTTCTTCCTACGTGAGAACTTTCTCACTGCTCCACCTGCTGCCCATTGCTGCCGCCTGCTACCTCCACCGGCAACCCACTGCCAGCGACCCTCCAAGCAGAAGCCCTCGTGGCTGCCCCCTTTCTCTCCCCTATTTTGTTTTCCTATTTTGCTTGAAAGTATTAATTTTGTTTATGTTTTGATTTTATGGTATAAAGTTCATATTTTTAGTATCAAATTCATGTTTTTGATAGCTTAAACTTATAATTTTCAGATTATAATGTTGATTTAATTTTCAGATTTTATAATTTTTAAACCTAGGGTTTCAATTTATTCAAATTGGGATTTTAGGGTTCTAATGAGCAATTAATTTGGGGCTTTTGTTCCTATTGTAATTATAATGATTAATTAACCATAAAAACATGTTTTGATGAAGTTTTAATCTAAATTATAATGCTGGAAATTTGGTTAAGTATTAATTTATTGTTGTTGGTTGTTTTCTAGAAAATGATTATTTCTTAGGAGACTTTTAAGTGATTAAAAGTGGCACAAAGAATTGTTTATACGAGGTACGTACATGCAGTGGCGGATCCAGGATTTTTAAGGTGCTGGGTAACTGTTACCTATCGATCATCACCCATCGACCGCATATCGAAGGTGAATGAATTTTGTGATAGAGGATGATTTTTTGAAGGAGGAGGATGCATATTGGGACTAAAGAAACTTGTTTTATCATATGTTTTTTAAGAAAATTAAGTCACAATTTCAATTTAATTACTAAATCCAATATTATCAAAAATAGATTAATTCAATCTTTTTGCAACTTGTCTATTATATACCCAATGAGTTAATATTTTTTTTACAAAAAAAAAAATCCAATTTAATTATAAATATAATATATACAACACAAATTAGAAAAACCACTTAATGCTTAATGTAATGTCTTAACAACACAAAATATAACAACATTGAAGGATAATCAAATTAATCACACGATAATCAAATTGTCATAAGTTCATAATCATTTTAAAAGGAAAACAAAAAAAGAAAAAAAAAATATATTACTAGCTAATACTGCTACAATAAATTAAATGAACAAAGAAGGGAAAAAAATCAAATAATCACATAAAAATCAATAAATCACATAACCATAGGAAGGAAAAAAAAAAAGTTAAGGAATACAAAAATTGCAAGTATCAATGCTCGAACTCAAGACCTGAGTGGCTGGGCCTGTAGACACCAAATTTTGATCCCCTATTTTCCATACTTTTTTACTTTCAATTAACTAATAAATTATAATAATAAGATCTGATTTTGCTAACGACAAACGCAATAATTAGACATAAGAGACAAATTCAAGTAGTGTTTATTTATAATTTTGGAGTATACAAAACCCTTACAATTTGTACTCCTAATTTACAAACAAAACACGAGGCTAATTTGTAGCATAACTCGAACCTTGTACACTCCGTGCCGGAAACTTCAAATCGTCATTTATTCATGATTATGAAAATCATTAACGCCATTAGTAGCACCACTAACGCCATAATCAAAGCTAAATATAAATTTAGCACTCGAAAATGTTCGTCGAACGAAGACGGAGCTTGATGGTTTTTGTTGCCGGGAGCCATGGAAACCGAAGAGGAAAAGGCAAGGGGTGTGTTTTATTTTAGTAAAGGGTGATTTCGGATAAGGGAAATCTCCCTTTTATAGGGGATAAATCTTATCCGTATTTTTATCATATCCTAATTGTGTAATTGTTTAGTCTAATAATAGTAGTAAGTGTATCTTTAAAAAATAACATAAAATAAAAATAATGTCTTACCACTGACATATGTAACAATTATTCCGATTGACATATCCGGGTCGAGAATATCAAATATTGACCCTTTAATCTGTACAATTTTAAAACCGTGACCGTTTCTATAGTATCACTTTCTAACCCCGGATAAAAGTTTAGTACTACTGATTTTATATATCCTATTGTTATCATTATGATCCTAACATTTTCAGTCATCTTTTTTTTGTTTAAAAAAAAAAAAAAACCGAGATACAAATCACAAAAGACAATGTAGCATATTTTGATAAATGGAGAAACATGCAAATCATGCATTCATGCATGCATAAAAAACAATTCCAATGCATGCATACTAAGTTAATATCAAGGAAAAGTCACGGTTTCCCCCTTTTTTATTTTTTTTTATTTTTTTGGTTTTGTTTAACTTATTTAATTTTAACTTGTTTTAATCCCATCACTTTACTTTGCTAATAACTTACTACTACTTCATATTTCATCTTCTTCCTTCCTCACCAAAACACCATTATAGCTATACCTTCATGACTCATTTATTTTTCCTCTGTTTTATACACTCAGAAATAACAAGTGTAAGTATGCATGCTATTTCAGTTCCGGGTTATTGCAATGATGACAATATTTGACAGTAAAAGAGTGGCTCTAAGCAAAGATACCTCGGCTATTACCACTCATTTGATATGTCAAATTCCTACAGAAAAAGAAAATGGTAAGCCATGGTTGTAATTTAGCAACGAAGATCAGAAAATAGTGCGATATGACAATGTTGTATCACTGAGCTGTGTTTCTTCCCAAACGATAAGGTGATAAGACCATCCACAATTAATGGCAAAAAACATTTTTCTCCTTGTTATTTTCTAATAAGTGGGTTTTGTAATAGTTTTGTTTAGATATGGTAAGTTTGAAATACGAAGAGTAAATACGCTTTTCGAAGGAAGGTAGTATTAATTAACAATTATATTAAAATTATAATAGTTCTTTTGATTATTTTTAGTCATTAATAATATTGTCTTTTGTTCAGTCAATAGTAATTAAGTTTTATATAAAGTAGTAGGCTATTCTATTTCTCCTCTACCTCATTAAGACAAATTTTGGTTACAATTTCTACCTAACTCCTGTATTCGTACGTATTTATTTTGTATAACAATATATTCTTTGTATTTTGTATTTTATCTCCTATTTGTTCCCATATATATACCACTCCACTCTTCAAGAAAGGGAGATCTAAGAAAGGAGCTAAAAAAAAACTCATAAAAGAAGTCTAAAATATTTCAGCACTATAATTAGATTAAAAAAAAAAAAGCAATCAAAATTTTTTATTTTCCGTAAAAAAAAAAAAAAAGTTATTGTAGAAAGACTTGGCCTAATTTTAATTCGATCGTTTTAACACTATCACGCTACTCTTACTAACTCCTCAAGATAGCTAGTCAAAGGTAATATTTTCTTTCTTTTTATTTGTAATTTCATATTATTCTTACATACATTTACTA